ACCTGGAACAGACATGTTATTGCCAATGAAGAAGTTCTGTTTGGGTTTGAGTTTGAGAGATGCAATTATAAGCTAATGGGCTGAAATTAAAAGTAATATTGGGCTACTATCTTCCAAATAAGCTTGTCTATGAAGATTATTGCATAAAGATATAAACTGGATTACCTGAGCCGGCTTAAAATTAGAAGCAGGCAGCATCCTTATATTATCAGACACATTTAGCTGTCAAAATCACCGCCTGGGTGCAGCCCGGGCCCATTGCTGCTCAGAGGGGCACTTTGGCGGCCATTTTTTCAAGCCAGAAAACTCCTGGCTTCAAGAGGCATGGGGAGCACCCCTTCGAGCAGCGATGGACCTAGGTTGCCCCGGGCGGCAATTTTGGTGGCTAAATGCATCTGATAATATCAGGATACTGCCCAGGGCAAATCTTGTCTGGATTAAGTTTCAGTTTGTTTGCCCTAATCCAGTCCATTACAGCAGCCAGACACCGGTTTAGGACAGAAACAGCTTCCTTGGAATTAGGTGAAAAGGAGTGATAGAGTTGAGTATCATCAGCATACAGGTGACACCTTACTCCAAAACTCCAGATGACCTCTCCCAGCGGTTTCATGTAGATGTTAAAAAGCATAGGGGATAGGACTGTTCCCTGAGGGACCCCACAGGCCAATGGCCAAGGAATCGAACAGGTATCCCCCAGCAGCACCTTCTGAGAATGACCCTCTAAGAAAGAACAGAGCCACTGTAGAACAGAATCCCCAAACTCCAGCATACCAAAGTTGATGGTATCCAAAGTTGCTGAGAGGTCCAGCAAAACCAATGGACACACTCCCCCTGTCCAGTTCCCTACGTAGGTCATCCACCAAGGCGACCAAAGCTGTTTCTATCCCATAACCAGGCCTACAACCAGACTGACATGGATCTAGATAATCCATCTCATCTAGGAATGCCTGGAGTTGGGAAGCCACCACACGCTCCAGCACCTTGCCCAGAAAAGGAAGATTGGAGAATGGCCTGCAATTATCTAGTACAGTAGGATCCAGGGAAGGATTTTTCAAAAGAGGTCTTACCACAGCCTTTTTAAGGCGTGTCAGGACCCTGCCTTGCTGTAAAGAGGCATTAATCACTTCCCTTGCCCACT